ATGAAAAGTATCAAAGATCCTTTGAGAAAGGTTCTCGGAAGGGCTCTCTTCTTAACTTTGAGGAAATGATGACTATTCTATCAGAAATTGAGTTAGTAATCAAAAAAATTAATTAATTTTATTGTTTTAAATCATAGACCTCTTACTTATGTCCATAATGAAATAAAAGAGCCAGAAGCTCTTACACCTGCCCATTTCTTGTTTCCAGGGCAAGAAAATATTTCTTATCCTGTACATTTCGCCGACCTTTTCAGGAATGAACCATTGAACAGGCAGACTTTGACTAGGAGAAAACTGTATCAAACTAATCTTTTGAAACAAATTTGGAAAAAGTGGAAGGAGAATTATCTCCTCGAATTACGGTCTGCGCATACTTTTCTAAATCCATCTCCTGAAAGGAATCTTAAAAAGGGTGAGGTTGTATTGCTGGAGGGGTCGACGAAATCAAAATTTTTATGGCCTATTGGAATTATAGAAGAAGTTTATAAAGGTAGGGATGGGTATGTGCGTTCATGTTTGATTCGTACTTCTCAAGGACTTTATCGAAGACCCGTCCAATTAATCTATCCTTTTTGAAGTTTAAAGTTATATATATATATGTTTGTTTTATGTATTGCATTAAATTTGCAATGTAGTTTTCAGTATTAATTTGTGCATATTGATTTTTGATTATATCTAAATATATTATTGATATGTAAATTTAATGTGCTCTTAAAAGAGCACAGGTAAGAGCACAGGTGGGGTGTGTTGGAACTTTTCATAGTATAGAGGGCGCTGTTGCGCCAAAAGAATTCTGTGTTTTTTACATTATGTAACTGTGGTTCGCCATTGCGATGTATGTGTATTGCTGTGATATATTTTGGTGCTTTTATTAAATATAAATGAAAGATATTGTCATGAATTTTTTGTATCCAAATCAAGATCAAATTTACCACTGATGCAAATTCGTCGAAACAAAATTAGCATTCGAACAAGAAACGTCAAGTTATTACAAGCCTTTCAAACTACGCATTAGTATCGTTAATCGCTTCGTAACAATAGGTGCAATAAGTGATTTTAAAACCGTGTTGGGAGTATATGTGAAGATTTAACAGCTCTTTTGACTTTCATGAGGTCACAAGTTGAAAGATCTTTAAGGATCGAGTAGTATGGACCTTCATTTATATGCTTGTTTGTCTATTACAATAATCTGTCCATCCTTATCAGCTTTAGAAATTATAATGTTAGTATTAGAATGAATTTCATGTAAGGCCTCCGTTACCTTTTGGTTGAGATTCAAAATCAATGATTTGTTATTAAAATTCATGTTATGAATAATTAAGTAGCGGGTTGTAACCTTTGCATTTCTGAAATTTTAGAGAATTTAAAAGCCTTTTTTTAATAAGGGTGATGATTTAAGGAACAAAGACATTAAATAGAATAAATATTTTATTCATTCTGTTCTCATTTTTGTGAATAAGCATTTTATTTTGCTTGATCTAAAAAGAAGAAGAAATCTGAGAAACTGGAATTTTATTTAAAACCATGTAAAAATATAGAATTGTGAATGAAGTGATATGGGGCAATTTTAAATAACTTCTAAAATTTTTAAGTCCCCCTTCACACAAGTTTCATTCAAAAGTTTTCTCTTTAATTAAAAGTATCATTACTGTATTCAAGAAGTTTTTTAATGCCTCAAGTTTCTTCCTTTGAATTTTTGTTTATTTATAAGTATCATTAATGTATTCAAGAAGTTTTTTTATGCCTCAGGTTTCTTCCTTTGAATTCTTACCAGAATGTTACAGTATGAAAGATCTCTCAACATAATTACAACGCACAATCATGATAATTAAAGATTCAGTATTTAACCTTAACGGGCAAACTACATAAATTTACATTTTACCATGCTGAAATCCTAGGATGGACCACAAAGAATTACATTTTTGCTTGAATTCTTATTACTCTGCAATAGTTTTTCATTTTTATATGTATTGGGTTTATTTCTTGTTACCATTATATGTAAGTACTATCTACTGATTCAACCAACTAGAAGAACTCCAAAAATAGATCCACTATGTTAATTGTTTGGACACATGAAGCAGCATATCCTTAAGCAAAGTGTTGGGAAAGAAAAGAAAAATATCCTTAAAAATACCATGCAAAAAAATCTGCAGCTAAATGAACAAAAAGAAGCAAAACAAGATATAAATGTCAATTCTGTCTTTTTTCACTTCACAAGGATGAATGTTTTACAAAATATCATACTCATAAGAAACAGTACAACATTAATAAATAAATTTGTAAAATATCATCAAACAGAGTGTTGATTTAATAAAACAGCAATGTTTCAAAACCATACATACATTTGTATTTAATTCTTCAAAAATGCCTGGAAAGCAAGAAAGACAGAGAAAACACAAATATATATAAAGTTATAGCTCAGCTTTGAGTTTTCTTGATATCTGGAATGTATGCAATACTATATTGACAGCACATCATGTTGCCATGTTATGCTCATATTGCATTTGAATGAAAATATTATAGTTTTTATACTTCAAGGCATAACCTCAGTGAAATCAGATACGATATTTACTACAATTAACTAAATAAATACAAAGAATCATGGGAGAGGGAAGAGAAATACTAGGTCTATAGTAAAAGAATGCACATGTTTCATACACTCATTAAGTTAGAATAAGGTCCTATTTGGATACAGGATAATTAAATGGGTATGTAAACAAGTACAGTTTATAAATTCATATGCAGTAAGAAATTTATTTTTTTTTTTCCTATGAAAAAGTATATGAGTCACAAAAATTTATTTAAAAAGAAATTAATATAGTTAGTTATGATTTTATGAGTCTACACAAAACTATCATACAAATAATTACCTATAAATAACTTAATATAACAATTAGACCTGTGGTGTTCATTAAGGAAGTCTGTTTAAGGGTTACTTTTAAATTTCTGTTTCATATAGTTCATATGTTCTGTTTCAAATTGCGAGTTTCATATAGTATACTGAACAATTCCTCATTGGTAGCATAATACCATATATTCGTTTCTCCTGGTTTTAATGGTACAGTTAACTTCTCTCCATCATTAATTTTTAAAATGTCAAAACGTTTTAATCATCTGTGATTCAAAGATGTGTTGCACTTAGTTTTAGCAGAAACCACTTCAGAAAGTATTTTAGAGTACTTTTCTTGAGAAAAATAAAAACAATTGTCTTCTCGTTTACCCGTAATTAATGCTTTTAACTTTTCAAGAAAACAATCACAATTCACTGCAGTATTCATTTAGTATAAATTAGGGTATTGGGAAAAAAAAATTAGAAAATATTGCTTGCACCATCAAACCTTGCATAAAACTGACTCCCACCAGAACAAAGGATTCGGCGGGAAACAGCCAGTCGCTTCTTTGTCTACTCTCTCTTTTTGACCTACACCAGAGCATATCTGTAATTGTCAACATCCACTGGTGAGGGTCTGAATGTACAAGATTGTAATGCAATATTCGATCTTTCACCGACATATTTGGTGAATGCTGATATTCTTCAATTTTGGTTTTTCATGGTATCATATAGATATATGTCATCATGGGTGCAATATACACCCAACTTTCAGACAATGGATGATATACAAAAGTAAGTTGCAGTATGCTAGTTGGAAGCAAATGGATAAGTGTGACACATTCAAATGATAGTCTAGAGGACTGTCAAATGGTTTTGGTTGGATAAGTTCCAAATTAGCTACTTCATCATTACGTAAAGAATGGAAAGGTGGAAATATTCAAATTAAAATGCAGAATTAAGGACTATAGCAAATTTAAGTTACAATTTTGTTTTACATACTTTTATCTCACATTTATACAGGAAAGTAAATTAAGGAAAGTTGTTTTCAGAAAAATCATCTTATTATAAAGAGATGCTGGATTAATTTTGAAATGATGTAGTTGAAAGGATTTGGAATGCTGATACACTGTTGTGTTACTGTGTAGGATATTTGAAATATTCTGCTTTAAGTTTTGAAGTACTCAAATGCTGTCCTTTAAGACTTACAAAATCACTTTAATGATTCAGGCATATTTTCCCCTTCTTTTACTATATATACACTGGCTTGAATTTATCCCATAAGTGAGGATTTGAAAAGCTGCCTGAAACATTATGCAGACGACATGTTGATGAAAAATTTTGAATTTCAGAAGAAAATAAACCAGTTGTTTTGCAGATATGCTATACATAAAGTCTACTTTAAGACAGGGATTTACCAAGGCAGATGATATCCTTGTCAACTGCATGTAATAAAGTAGCAACATTTAGTACGTAGATGTTGATGATACTTAGAAATATATTAAGTCCTGTAGATGCGATAAGATGCATTCGCAGTACATTTAAATATTCAATTTTATTTTTATTTAACATTTGCGGTCACAACACATTAATCAAACTGACATTTATATTTTTGATATCACTGCAGTAAGAAGAGATCAATGCATCAGCAGTATAGGAGGCAGAGAAGCAAAAGCAAAGCATGTTGTGTTCAGAACAAAATCTTAATTCAGATATATCTTGAAATAATGCAGTCCAGAGAGGTTTATTACAAGCAATTACGATCTTTAGAACATAAAGGGGAAATACCAATATTCAAAAGAATTAAGGGGCTATTGCAAATTTAAATAGGAATTTTGATTTACATAATTTTTTTATCTTACACACAACAAAGGTTTAGAAATTTCAAAACTAAGATTATAAATTTGTTGCATAGTACATTGAAAAATTACTTAAATTATGATAATTAAATTAAAGTTGCTGGTTAACAGTCTAACAGGAATAAACATAAAAAACAAACAAAAATGAAGCAATTTTGTTTTTCCTGTTAGACTGTTAATCATCAATTTTAATTTAATTATTATATCCTGGTTATTTATTATATATTTACATATGCAGTATAATTCTCTTAATATGAAAAAAAGTATAGCCGAAAAATACAGAAAATATAAGATGACTAAAAACATTTTACCCTTTCATCAACATAATCTTTGTGCAGTGCACAGAATACTTTTCTGTCTTCCTGTAACACAGCTTCGTCCTTTCTAGCACAATAGAAATGGTAGTTAGCTGGACAACCTCTAACACAACATCCAACAGTAGCTCCAAGTTGGTTGCAAAATTCACAGTGCTATAAATAATTTTTGTATTACTGCAATTTTAGATAATAGAGACAAGAATTAATTTATGACACTTATGAAAATTACTGAACTACTGGCTATAAATATTTACATCATTACAGCATTTCCATTAGCATACCTATATTTTGATGAAATCATAAACAGTTTAAAGGAAAAAAGTGAAATGATGATGAAAATGTGCAATAAGTGGATAATTTCGTAAAAACTAAAATTACACACAAACATGGGGGTGTGAACCCTGAAACTACTAAGCTGAAAAACAAAGATGCATGGAATCATTAAGTACTTTTATGTGATACAAGTTATGAAATACACGTATATAAGCTGTTAAAATAATTACAGCAGCTTTATTTCTAAGAGAAACTGACTAATGCTTGCATTATACAAGGGTAAAAATTGTAAATACCCGTTAAAAAAGGGGAAAGGCAGGACAAAATGCCCATTTTCTTTCTATTTGCATTCTAAAAAAGTCGCAGAGACTAATGTTGGCTTCTTGGCAGTCAGTGCAAGTAATTAATCATGCAAAGCATGTAGAAATATTATGAAAAGTTTAAAGACTTAAACACATGCAGCATTACCATTTTACCTTAGTTGACATCATTTCTGATACTACATGATTATTTTCATAACTTTCAAGAGTACTTCATGAATAATTTTCCTTTCCATTACACATTTTCAAAGTTGAGTTACATATGCATCTTGTGAATGTGAAAAGGTGCGACGATTGCTTTAAACATCGGGACTACATATTTTCTGAGTACTGGCTAATGAATTCTGCAATCATTTAGGAAATGAATCTAGATTTGGGATTTTTAACTCGATTATATCCACATTCAAATGCAGGAACTGGCATAAATTATTGAAGCTAATTCAGACAACTCAAAAAAGATGCCTCCATACAAAATTTAATCAAAAGCCACAGAACTTTATCTATTCACTATTCTTCAAATGAATAGCTAAACTTAAAACACATTTTATATAACCTCTTGGTATAAATTCAAGGCTATCTCATACTATCTTCTCCTCAACTTAGGACAATACGCTCACCTCCACTTGCTGTCCATGTTTGCTCTGCTTACTGACCGCATGATGCTTCGGTCCCCCCTTTTTCCATCTCCTCCATTCCCTCTGGAATACCATGCGCCGATAGAACTATGTGATGCACCCATGAGGCAAATTTGAATGAGCCGGAAAAAACACACTGTGTGGAAGTACGGCAAAAAATAATCAGTCAGTCAGTCACTATCTTATATTCCAAATACAGAAAATTATCACTTCAGTTTGTGTGCTAAGCTCCTCACTAATTCCCACCAAATTGACTGCAGGCACCATATGTGACAGAATGCATGGGTTAAGCTGTTTTACCTTTTCTCACTCATTAGATACAAATGGTGATGAAAATTTTGTATTACAAATTCTCATTTCATAGTAATTTTCCTGAGTACCAAATAGAGGAAAATTATTGTCAAACCTTACTAAAACAAAACTGGCTTATAATGAACTCCTGGAAAGAACGAGTGAATCTTTTGGTCCCATCCAGTTTCTTATACATTTAACATTATTTTATACTGTTAAGCGAACCCTCAAGACTATAAAAATCGGATTTAATGAACTGTATGGACATCTTTGATTCAAACTTGTTTTGTATTTTCCAAGAATTTCTGCAACTTTTAGCAAGAAAAGTACTAACCTTCATAATCCTACAGGTTTGGAATATTAGGATTTGCCGTAAAGGAAGTTACATTACTTTACTTTCACCCCTACTTTCTCCTCTATTTTAAACAAACACTATCATAACACTCAACTTTAGGGAGAATGTGGATACAATAAGCATATCTTAGGACGTCATAGAGTGTACATGACTATCGAACCAAAAGGTGAGAATATTCTCTCATTTCAATGAAATTCTTCAAACGAACTGTCAAACAGAACTCTACTTAAGGCTGACAGTACGATAGAAATTTTGGTTATTCAAGGAAAGAGGATGCAGTGAATCTTAGCTTGCAGGTTTACAACTAATTCTTAAAAATTTTTTATATTTATCAATTTGTTTTGAGCATAAATGTTTTACAGTTCTAAGCTCTGAATAAAGGTTTTCCATTCTTTAGGTCTTTCACAAGACATATTCTTTTAACGGTTACAGAATCTTTGCGTTGCAGTTGTACATATCTTGAGAGAATGATTGAGGTCTCAATGGACATTAAGAAACATTTGTGACAAATTACAGTACAAAGTCCATAATCCGGAATGATCTATAATCCGGACCTCAAAGCCACAAACTTTTTTTTTTTATTAATGCTTTACACATACGCATTTAATGCATAACAGACGGTATAAGCTAGGCTAAAATTATTACTGATTCTAAGGCATTTCAGTTAATGTTGCAGATTGCACTCTTACTTAATCTTCTAATTGGATCTGGCTTATTATTTTTTGCAGACTGTTAGAGCAATTTTATAAAAATTAAGCTTGAACTTTCTCAGACTAATTCAGAAGTCAAACTTTCTATTATGTCAAAAAGAGTTTCCAATTCTGGAGCTGCCAAAGGATCTACAAAGCAAAAGCATGTTTCGATCTCCATCAAACAAAAAGTGGAATTGTTGCAAAAAATGGATAAAGGCATATTGTCTCAAAATTATGCGAGGACTATTACATTGGAAAGGCAACTGTATATGACATAAGCAAAAAGAAAAAGGAACTTTTGGAATTTTTTGTGGATTCCAACACCCCACTTGCAATGAATAACAGAAAAAGAGTTTGTTATGCTAAAAGTGACGTTAATGACAAAATGGTGATTGAATGAGTCAGACAGCATCGCAGCAAGGGTGTGCCATTGATGAGTCCAATGCTAATAGCTCAAGCCAAAATATTTCATGAAGAAATTAAACACTGAGTGCACATATTCAACAGGTTGGTTAACCAAATTTAAAAATCGCCATGGTATAACACAATTACAAATTTCAGGTGAAAAAGCTTCAGCTCATACTGAAGCTGCTGAACAATTTGCAGATGAATTCATTGAACTCATTACTAGTGAACAATTATCTCCAGAACAAATTTACAACGCTGATGAAACTGGTCTTTTCTGGCAATATGTACCACGATATACCTTGGCAAACTCTACAGAAAAGGCTCAAACTGGTGTCAAAGATTCCAAAGCGAGACTAACAATTTTAGCGTGTGCAAATGCTGGAATGCACAAGTGGAAACTTTTTGTAATCTGAAAACATGCACGACCTCGAGCATTTAAAGGAGTAACGATTTTCCCTGTTTTATATCGCGCAAATAAAACAGCATGGATGACACAAGCATTGATGAATGATTGGTTTGAAAATCATTTTATAACCCAAGGCTCGGTGATATTTGAATTTAGTTGGTTTACATGACTCAAAAATAGTCCTGATTGTTGACAACTGTTTGGCGCATACTTCACTTAAAGTGTAAATATGACTTATTGTAACCCCTTTTCTGCATCATCTCTCCTCCTCAAAATAATTCTAACTTTTACATGAGTTTTAGTTTTTATTTTAAAGGGTTATAGGAATTATTTCTACTTCGTTTTGACTGCCACTGTTTGTATTAAGAACGGAATGTTCCAGCCTAATTAAGATGCAAAAACAAAATTCGAAGTTATGTCATCTGGAAAGCAGAGTTGTGCTAACAGCTGATTGGCTGCCGTGAGATGACGTCATGTCTACTTCATGTATAAATATCTCGCATCGCTCTGGCTTACTCCTTCTTGTTCTTGCTTCCATTGCTCCTGGTGTGCTGTTCCAGCTTTCATTTGAAGATGTTCTTGTGATGCTTATCGTCCAGGGTTAAGTACTGTGGTTCCGAGCTATGTTGGTTTTTCAAAGGTTAAGTGGTGCCGAATCTCAAGTTGTGGTTCCCGGTAAAGAACTGCAGTGGGTGGCATCCTGTTTCCATGTTTAAGCGGCGATAAATCTCAATTGTGGTTCCCGGTGAGCAACTGACGTGGGTGGCATCCTGTTCCAAGGTTAAGTGGCGATAAATCTCAAGTTGTGGTTCTCGGTGAGCAACTGCCATGGGCGGCATCCTTTCCAAGGTTAAGCAGCCATAAATCTCAAGTTGTGGTTTCTAGTGAGCAACGTGGTGCATCCTCTTTTGAAGGCGGCATCATTAATACCAGTGTTTTTCAGGTCTAGCGGCGATGTCTTTCCAAGCTGTGATTTTCCGTGAGCAACTGCAGTGAGCGGTATTTACAAACTCAAATACATTCAAGGTTTAATTTTTCAGGTGCCTTCTTGACCAAAAGCATAGACCTATTTAGTCAAGTGAAATTCAAATTAATCGTGTAGTTTTGTTCTGTGATATGTTTTTTTGTGAGCTATTGAATGCCAGTATTAATAGAAGAGTATTTATTCTATCATTAATAGTGTAATACTCTTTAAAGGAAAAACCCTTGGGGTTTAATGAATAGTTAACTAAGTGTAATTTTTCACAATGATTATGTTACACTCTTAAATTTAAGTTTCTGGTATTGATCAAATTTATTTATTGTATTTTTATTTTTATATATATTGTTAATAAATTGTTTAAAACTTTTGTCCTCTATGTCTGCACAGCACATTATCTTAGGGTGCTTCTATTGAGATAATTATTTCAGCTAAATGTTTTCTATAACTTTAAACTTTGCTTTTGCATCATAAATTTTTAGTTAAAGATAATGTATCCATATTATTCTTTGCTTCAAATTGTACGTCTATCATTCAGCCTATGGATATGGGAATAGTGCATGTGCCAAAATGCAAATATAAAGTAGCATTTTGAAAATCTATGTTAAATTTCTTGAACAATGGTAAGACTATTCAAGACTTTTTGAAATATTTTAGCATAAAATCTGTTGAGTGGAGAATCGCACAATCGTGGGAGGATGTGTCTTCATTAAAAAAATTCTTAGCATAATTTATAGCCAGCTACCATATTTCATGGTGAAGACGATGAAGATGATAGCTGCGAATTTGAAGATTTTTGGATATCGCAAACTAAAGGTGAAATTTTCCAGTTAATGGATTTTGTAAAGAAATGTGGAGAAGTGGTAATAAATGAAGATGATATAACAGAAGTTTTTCATTGTGACAACAATGCCCCAATCATCAATCAATTAACAAACAGCGAAGTCTGCAGCATGGTTGTAGATCCAGAAAATACAGCTTCCGATAGGTGGAACTTTATAACTGAACAAGAAATTATGTCTGTTTACAGAATTAAAGAAAAAGTATTAGCACAAAAAATGAAGCAACTTAAACAACTTACATTGAAAGAATAATATTTTTTTTTTTTTTTTTTTTTGTAAATTGTGATACTCTTCAGATCATAATTGCTCTTTATTTCATAAAGTACGGTTTCATATTTTTAATTGTATAATTTCTGCATGCCATATTACTTGATTTAAATTGATGATCTATAATCTGGAATCGCCGAAGTCCCGCGAGTCCGGATTACGGACTTTGTACTGTATCTTCCCTTTTCATAATTTTCAGAACAACAAAACATTTTTGACCAAACTTTTTGCACTGTTGCACAAAAATTCAAACGCATCACAAGCTGTAAATGCAAAGCTTCTGCACACAAAATAAGATGAACATTATTTTAAAAATACAAAATGGATGCAACAGATATCCGTCAGAAATAGTTTATTCACATCTACAGTTGACACCATATGGGGAGGGGGGAAAAACCCTACACTTTTTAACTTCTGCTCATGGAAAAAATTTTGATATGAAGAAAAAGTTGATAAAGATGGAGCATAACTGTTTTGGACTCCTTGGTGATTGTGGTGATTTTTACCAGAAGGTGCATAATACAAAGAGTTAGTTGCATTATAGAATGTTAAGGGAGTGGACACGGCAAGATGTCGAGCACATTACTGCTAATGATATAATGCATTGTATCTGCCAGGTGGCAGAAAACCAGTATGCTGTATCATGTACATGCCAGGTGGCATAAAGCTTGTAAATAATTATAAATAAATGCACAGTAAAAGATCTTGATGAAATTAATCAAAGAACACACAACAATACAAATCAGTTGGACACTACAATAGTGATGCTGAAGAAACATTGCTGAAATGGTTTGCCAATCAAAAGAAACCATAATCTGCCAAAACCTGGACAAATGCCAATGAATTTATTGAATATTTTGAACAGAGTGAAAAAGAATGAATAACAAATTTAATAACTGCTTGAAATAATAATTGCAATTAAGTCTTAATATGATTTTTTTAATTAGATTTATTATTAATTTCTTTTGCAGGAAGTGAAAATGTTAATCAGCTTTTTTCTTTATTCATTATTTAATTTTTACACATTTTTGTGAGATTATCAATTTTTCTCAAACTGTCATTCTGGTCCATTACGTTAGGTATAGCAAGGTTCGACTGTACTTCACCTTGTCAGTTATTATGAAACAATTTGTAAAATATGTTAAAGTTATCAAGGAACATGATTGTTCATAATTTTCACTCAACTAAGGCAGAAAAGCTAATTTTTCACAAGAGACATAGCAAATGAGGGGAAATCATTTTTAATGTGTAAATGCATAAACATAATACTTTATTAAATTCCATTACAAATAAGATAATTTCACTTATTTGGCCATGTCGGGTGAATGTTAAATTATCATACTACACAAAACAAGGAGCTAAAAATGTTTTTCGATTGATTACTATGAACTCATTTCAAAAAACAAAATTAGACATTAACCCCTATAAAATGAATTGCATTTATTATTTTCCCCCTTTTTTCTTGCTGGTAATCATGAATTAAAAAATTAATACAGCTCATACCTATTTAATCTATTAATATTGCTCAATTGTCTGGCACATTCTCAGTCTACCACTATGGTAGTAGCAATCAGAACTCAAAACCTGTTACTCTAGAGCCAAATGTTTTATGATCCTGTTTATTTCTTATATTCAGCTGTATTATTCCCATTCAAGATATATCATACTTTAAAGGAAAATACCATACCTTTCAGAACTAACCAAAACCAAAAAGTACAGTATAAAAAAGAGGAAGTTTTAATTGCCATTTTGGCTTAAAAGGGGAAGTAAGTAAGGCTGTTTTTTTTTTCAGATTTCATGGAAGAGGACACACATTTCGTGGTTAAAGGGCACATGATATTAAGTTTTTATTAAAATAGAGTAATTACTTTGCAAGGTAAAGAGAAACATTCTTAAAATTTAATTAAAAAAAAAAAAAAGCTTTTTTGAAAACAGAAATTTAACACAGTAAAATCTCAGGATTAACATGTTACAAATACATTTGATCCAATGTGTCTTGCAAGAAACACAGAGATTACAGAATAGACAAAGGTTTATAATTATTAGCCTCTTGTTTATTAACCAACAAATTAACCAGTGGTAATGTTTTAGTAACGGGAGAAGAAAGACATGAAACAAAGAATTTCACAGATAAATATCTGAGATTTAACAGTAAGACTAAAGGATTTATATAAGCAGGAATTTTTTTTTTTCTTTTGACCTTTTATTTCATTCAAATAAAGTTAGTTAAAGAAAAGACATAGCATCAGAAACAACCTACATTGCAACAGCAGTTGAAAAAAGTTGTCTATAACACTGCCAAGCCCTACTGCAATATTAGAAATACAGAAATGAAAGAAATTATGGTGGAAAACCTTGGGGAACTCTAATAATGATGACCAGATGAACACTAATGACTTTTAGCCTATTATTAATCAACCAACAAATTAAGAATTTGTAACAATGGTTCAGTAATGGAAGCAGAAAGAATTTCATAGAAAAATGTAACTGAGATATCACTGAAGGCTGAGATTCAAGCTTGTACTATGGATTATTTTTAGTCTGAAGTTTTACGTTACAATATTAAACATAAAAATTACAAATGCATTCAGAAATATTAATGACTGTAAATTCTTTACAGTTTGAACTTTGTTCTACCTTTGATATCACAGCAATATTTGAGCAGAGTAAATTGACAAGTCTTGGAGGCTCATGTTTATGTTTGACTAAGCTTGCCAAACTATTTTCTCCCATATTCTGTTGTTTGGCAACAGTCGGATCTTAAAATTGTGGGATTTGAGAGGTCCAACCCATGCCTTAAAATTTACTACACGAAACGAATTTTTAATAAAAATGAGAAAGCTTTGTTGTGAAAATTAGTAAAGAAGAATAAAAATACAAGACTCTTTCATTGTATGGAAAGAACTGGTAGGTACAGCTGTATATGTTTATAACAAAATACTTACCATTAATCTGCCTCTAGATATTGCTGGATAAACATTACGTAAAGAGCCATCCTGCTGTTGAAATACTTCAGCAGACCACAAAGCACAGTTCACATGTATCCAATCATCCTGTCCACAGTATAATAAGCGACCACACTTCTATAATAAGAATGCATTCAGAAGTTATCCTTTTATTATATTAAAGGAATTGAGGACTTATCCAAGATGAATTCATAGGTCCATAATTAAATAAATATTCTACAAAATAATATAACTTTTATAATAATATAAATTTCCATTATGATTACAGAATAAAAATTAATCACACTATAAATAAATTAAAAAAAAAAAAAAAAAAGCAAACTGCAGCGAAGCAGAATATAGGTTTTCTGCATAACTATTATTAACAGATATCATTCATGATCCTATTCAAAATTACATTGTGGTATTAAAAATAATTTAACAGGGTTGCCACTAGAAAAACAGAATGAAATTCCCTGACTTTTCCAGGTGTGTTTAAAGAAAATTAAAGTCCAGCCACCTAGTGCGTGCTAACTGGGCTGGGGGTAAATTAATTATGGTACCACTTGAAAATACAAAAATTTACTAATTACATATGACCTTTGATTTAAAAAAATACTTTTGAATACCCAAGGCATTACAATTATAACTATTATAGGAGTTAAGATAACAATAACACGCTGAACAAATATTAACTTAAAAGTCAAACAACAAAAATCAGCATTATATTTTCAAATTTTCACAGGACTGATTTCGATGGTTTTACCGAACCATCATCCTCAGCTGCAAAAGCACAAATGTACGAGAACCAGAACTAAAACATAATTTCTTTAAAGGCTGAAGGCAAAGATGGATTGGAATTGGGGTCATTAACCAGAACATAAAAGATTTTTTTGAATGTGAAATGCCTCTAGAAAATCCAGTTTATCAATGGAAGATGTTTTTTTTGAATAATTTTGGCAGCAGAAAAATTGAAAGTGTAATTTTTGGACCAACAATGTTGGGTAACAGAAGACTTCTGTGTTTCCTTTTTTCTAACATATGCCTCATGTTGCTTAACGCAAAATTTTAAGGCTCTCTTAGTTTGGACAATGTAAATTAAACCACACTGGCAAGGAATCTTGTAAATACCCCAGGAATTCATATCCAGAATGGGGTCTTTGAGTATGGAATTTCATTGATGGGAGAATAAATGACATGAAAGTTACATTTCTGTAAAATATGTGCAACTTTATAACTAATTGATGGAAAGAAGGGAATGACAACAGAATTTTTATAATCTCCTAAAACAAAAGTGTGCCTTTTGGTGTGTTGAGACGAGAATTTTTTAACTGCTTGATTAATAATGTTGTGTGAAAAGCCTCTGTCATTAGCTATTGCTTTTAAATAATTTAGTTCTTCATCAAGGGATAGTTTGGAGGAGCAGACTTGAAGAGCACGGAAAACATAGGAATAAAATGAAGCTAACTTTTGTTTAGTCAGATGACATGATTTGAAGTATGGTGGAAGGCAAACTGATGAAGGTTTAAGGTAAATCGTAGTACTGAAGTTGGATGTGTTATGTGTGACCAGAATGTCCAGAAATGGAAGAGAGCTGCAAGTCTCAAGTTCAAAAGTGAACTGATTAGCAGGATTAATGAAATTCATTGTTGAAAGAGCTTTATTTAAATCATCTTTATTACCTTCAAACAGGGTAAAAGTATCGTCTATGTAGCGGAACCATATCGGGAAGTTTAAAGTTTCAAACAATTTTGATTCATAATAATGCTAATAGATATCAGCCAAAATGGGACTGAGGGGCTTCCCATGGCTAATCCCTCAGTTTGCTTGTAATACTTATTATGTAAAACAAAATGTGTTCATTTCAAACAGAGTTGAGTGAGAGAAATTAGCTCATCAATTTCGATGCAAGAGAAATGAAATTCGCGAAGTCTGGTTTCTAGACATCTTAATGCACCCTCCACTGGAACATTGGTCAATAATGATTTTACATCAAAAGAAACCATGAGTAAATTTCTAGGAGAAATGTTTTTAACCTTTTTTACAAACTCTATTGAATTTTTTAAGGTGTAAATGTTATTGTCTAATAAGAGCTGAAAATTGTGCCAGATTATATGCTCTTCCCAAAATTTATAAAAGTGGTATTCCTTTCCGCCCTATTGTATTAAATTTACATACTGCCTCATATCCATTAGCTAAATATTTAGTTTCTAGATTTTCAACTCTATTAGACAATAACATTTACACCGTAAAAAATTCAATAGAGTCTGCTCCTCTAAACTATCCCTTGATGAAGAACTAAATTATTTAAAAGCAATAGTCAATGACAGAGGCTTTTCACACAACATTATTAATCAAGCAGTTAAAGAATTCTCATCTCAACACACCAAAAGGCACACTCTTGTTTTAGGAGATTATAAAAATTCTGTTGTCATTCCCTTCTTTCCATCAATTAGTTATTACCTTCAGCCTTTAAAAAAATTATGTTTTAGTTTTGGTTTCATCAACAGATGGCGGCAGTAGCTTATCTCCTGTTCAGGCTTTCTTATCTTGTCTTATCTAATCATTATACAGTCAAAAGTCTTTAATCTGGACGTCCATAATCCAGAATAACCTATAATCCAGACCTCAAAGCTGCAAACTTTCTGCGCATGCATAAACGCATAATGTGTTACGCATGCACATATGTGTTTACGCATGCACATTTAATGTATAATGGACGGTATAAACTAGGCTAAAATTATCTAATTATCTATTTCAGTTAGTGTTGCAGATAGCATTGTTCCTTAATCTTCTAATTGGATCCGGCTTATTATTTTTTACAGACTGTTAGAGCAATTTATAAAGTAAGCTTGAACTTTCGATTATGTTAAAAAGAGTTTCGATTCTGTTAGAGCAATTTATAAAGTAAATTATAAAATATTAAATTATGTCTGTTTATAGAATTAAAGAGAAAGTATTAGCCCATAAAACGAAGCAACTTAAACAACTTACACTGAAAGAAATGCTTAATAAAGTAAACAAATAAATATTAAGCTTTTCTTTTGTAAATTTTGATACCCTTTAGATCATAATTGCTCTTTATTTCATAAATTACGGTTATATATTTTTAATTTTATAATTTCTGCATGCCATCTTGCCAGATTTAAACTGATGATCTATAATGCGGAATCGCCGAAGTCCCGACGAGTCCAGATTAAAGACTTTTGACTGTATCTTGTCTCGTACATTTGTGCTTTTGCAGCTGAGGATGACGGTTCAGTAAAACCATCGAAACTAGTCCTGTGAAAATTTGAAAATATAAAACTTATTTTCGTTGTTTGGCTTCTAAGTTATTATAGGAGTTGTTCTCCTCTGAGATTTTTAAATTAAGTTTTTGCTAAACTAAGAAACTTGCTATACTGCATTTACATACTAAACTAACTTTTTCTTCAGCAATCAATTGTATCTTAAAATTAGTTATCAATTGTATCCAAATAAATTCCTTTTTTAATTACATGAAACGAGTACATAACAGTAGTGATTATTAGTGCATCTGAAATACCTGCAATCACAGGTACTGAAATACATTTATTTAAGAGTACAACTTAAATATTAATTTTGCATGCATAAAAACATACATTCACAAAAGAAATTAAATACTTAAAATTTATTCCATCTAAGTAACACAGAAAATTAGAAATTAAATTGAATTGACTTTTCAGTACTATGCATAAATTTTTCAACGTTGGTTTTTTCCCAACCACTTATTGTGATAAAATCATGCCATGAATGGCTTTGTTGTTTTAAAAAGTATTAAAAATAAATTCTGGAATGGAAGCTATTGTTTATAAAATGAAATCTTCACTATCACATAACTTTTCGTCTTCAAGTGCTTGATGATATGCACCAAAAGCAGATTTTGCATACTGTAACATATCAGAAATTATATTAATAGTCATCACACCTCCATTTACTTTTATGGCAGTATAAACAGTTTGCATTGCTGTTAAAGAAATTTCCTGAAAGGTTTTCACCAACATATCATTATTAACTGAGAAACCACTTTCTATTGCGGCATTGCTATCTAATAAAATTAGAACTAGTTTTACAACACTCCAAAATTGTTCAAATTTTGGATTATTAATCAAGCCCTTGTAAAAAGATTAAGTTGCATAGTTGACAAAAGTATCTTTCCAAACGCTCTTACTTCTGAATAAGAATTCTTTAAACTGCACTTTTGATTTAACCACAACTGCAAATTTATTCGTTCACTTTCACACAGTCTATGCAGTAACCTTTCCATCCTTTTCTCACATAACAATTCATTAGATGTAATGAGCTCAATCTAATGAAGAAATGTATTTGACCAAGCTATACTTAAATAGGCTTCTTTCAACTATTTTTGATGCAAGCCTACCAAAAAGATTCTGCACAGAGTTCTGAATTCACTTTTCTTTTAAATCAGACACTCCACTTTTAGCTAAAAAATAGAGGTAGAACACAACAGGGAGGAAAAAAAGAGAAGATATTTTTGCCAAAAGAAGCTCATTTTGAAAAGCTTTTCCCAGTCTTTCAAATGATACAGACTTAGGCAGTTTGGATGATGCACAATTCCTCGGATGTCAAAGATTATAGTTAGAATTCCACCGATTTTGCTCCTCACCTCTAGTGCTTTTTAGTCCAAAGGGATTTCAGTCCCGAAGGACTATTGCTTTCGTTTTGGCATTTTGCGTCGGACTCATAAACGTCGGTTCACTTTTCAAACTGTTGCCACAAAAGTCCTGCATTATATTTGAAGAAATTAAATAATGAAAAATCTGCATAAATGATTGTCTATTTCTCGCATTGTGATAAAACAATGGCACATAGAGCCATTGAATTTTGAATGACGAAATCCTACTGCGAATATGGGCATTTGAAATCCCAAATTTGGAATTTGTTTTATTATAGATTTTATATTTTGTAAAACTTTAACGAATTTTTGATTTACAAACTCAATGCTTTAAAAGCGAGAAATGGCAACGTTATATAGAAAAAAAATACTTTTATCTCCAGCTCGCGAGACTGTGTATATCGGAAATTCTAAAGATATGCTCGTTTTAAAACTATTTTGCGATATTGCTCTTGAACTGAATTTCATGGTTTAAGTGCAAAGAACATGATATTTAATAAATAAAGGTAACACTCAAAACGTTAAAAAAAAACTGCCCCTTTGGACGTAATTTAAAATCTGAAATATTTCAGTTTTTTTTTTTTTTTTTTTTTTTTTTTTTTTTTTTTTTTTTTGCCTTGTGCACAGAAATTCTGGGGACTGGGAATGCTTCAATTTCAACTGCAATCACTGTACTTTTGTTTGTAAGGTGTACCTGTAAACTCATGACTCATCACCAGTTATCAAAATATTCAGAAACTCAGGATCAATGTTGGTAGTGTCCAGCATGTCTTGTGAAGCCTCAAAATGGAGTTCTTTCTGTTCCATCGGCAAAAGTTTTGGCATGAATTTTGCAGCCACTATGTGCATGTTCAAATCTTTGTGCAAAATTGCATATGCAGAATCGTTACTTATCTCAACTTCTTCAGCAATCCCTCGTATGGTCAAATAATGAACTCCCATTATTAGAATTTCTACTTTCTCAATAACAGCTGCATTCTGAGCAGTTTGTGGCCTCTCTGAACGCTGATCACTCTCCACTAGTGTTCGGCCATTTTTGAATCAGTCGAACCACTCCTTAATTTGTGTTAATCCCATAGCATCGTCTCCAACCTCCAGCTGAATCTTACAAATTGCTTCATTTTGAGAATCACCAAACTTTAAAATAAATTTAATGCAATATTGCTTTTTAATTCACTCAGTCATTTTAAGAGAAATCAAAATTCACTCAATGGCCAGTATACAACAATCTGACAATTTATTTGATGGACCGTAGGCAATGACTGACTCACCAGAATGCCAAGAAAAAATTCAAGAATGCACATCAAGCTGTCTAATTTCACTGTGCACAGTGGTGCTGGCCTAGCATCACTACTATGTGTAGAAAAATTCAAGGTTTAGACAGACCTTGTAAATACTCTATGCATGTCTTTAAATAAAGCACCAGATTCCAGTCAACAGCACTAAAGGAGCTGTAAACAACATGCAAACCACAGAACCCAATATCTAATACATGAAAGTCATTATTTTCTTTCAAATCCGTGAGGAATCTAAGATTTTCATTTGGACACAAGATACATGGGGCAATTTCTTTTTATCTTGTTCTGATGTTCCCTGAAAAAAAGTCTCAGAAGGTCATTAGTAGTAGTATACCCCCAAAAATTGATCTGAGGTATCTTGTGCTCACCTCTTTCTTCATATTGTTCCAAAATCTAACAAAAAGTTCCATTTGACCATTCTGGACAACTCTATTTAAAGCTTCATCAAAGAATATTACAAATTCGGTGTTCCTAAGATCAGAAATGAGCATCTTCTTGATGTATGGACCTAAACCATATGACACAAATATGACAATTCTTCGCAAGAACATGCGAGTCATGCTCTCTGGATTCTGCAGGTTATTGGAAACAAAGATGCTGGAAACTTGCTTTGCCTTTCTGAGAGACAATCTGATTGGCATTGTGAAAAATGGCTCTACGCCAGCTCCCAGGATGATGCTAATGCTATATATAATTGACCCAGAAAGTGATCTGCTTCCAACGTTGGCACAAAAGTTGCTTTATGAAATTTCTTGACTTTCTAGATTTTGGCTAAAATATTTAAAGTCTCTGACTTCTTTGGTCAATTTTTGAATTTCCTGACTTTTTCCCAGTTGTCTAAGGTAGCGTGGCAACCCTGATTTAAAAGAAAGCTGCCATATAATAATAAATATATACCTTTGGTTTGCTGTCTCCACAATAACCACATAAAACACACGTACGAGAATCAAGGAGTGGTCTTTTTTCTGCAATTAAAAAAAAATTGTTACACTTTCTCTTAATTTGCAGAAAAATTCAAAATTAAAATGAATTGTACAGAGGAAATAATAATAAAAGCTAGTTAAAGAAATAGTTTTATGCATTTAAATGGGTATTTTTATGACATGTGTTTTATATATATATACATAATATTTTGGCAGGCAGGCACAGGAATGACAAAACTTGACAATATAACTACATCATAGTCTGGGCGTTGTTATGGCTTAGAAGAAGGCTGCAAAATGATGACAAGAAGGATTTAGCTTTTTAGATTCCACATCTTTATTCAATTCTCACAGCAGATCATTTTGCCTTTAGATGAAATTCTCCATTCTAAACTAAGTAAAATTAAATTTAGACATAACTGTTTACATCATAACTGTTCTAACAAAGGGAAGAAAAAGACAGGATAAGCAACAGAAAGGTCTCGTAGCAGTGGTAGAAGAAAGCAGTCTGATGAAACATGGTGTGCACTCAGTATTTATACTAGCACTTGTATAACCTGCCAGAATGTTCTCGAAAGTACTGGTATAGGAGGAAGATCTTGAAATTGCGGAAAGTTAATTATAGGTTGAATGTTCGTGCAGAGCAAAGCCATCATATTTTTTATGTTTTACATATATACATATGTAACAAACAAAATATCATAGAATTTAATTAAAAAGAATAGAAAACCTTCAATAGCTTATACATAATTTAAACTAGAATTTTCTGTCTTGATTTGAATTTTTAATGGTTTATTTCATCTAAAGTCAATAGAATTTAAATGACGGGTAAATTTTTTAATCAATACTTTAGAAATGAGGAAAATAAACTTTTGCATATTTTGTGAAAGGAGGCATCACTAGTAATAATAAAAAGGCTCATGCATTTCAAAAGAAAGCTTGGTTCTTCTTTATCGAGCACAAAAATTATTCTCCTTAATCCATTTACAGCAGAGAAAAAAAATTAAAAACAAATTCATGAAATACCACACAATAATAGTCAACAGTAGACAGTATAGAGCAGAACTGAATATAATTGATGTATACAATGGAAAATAGTTATTTAGCGATCTCATCATCGAGAATGTTGCCCGAGGTGCACCACAAGGGATGATGAATTTAATACCAGATAGAACATGGAAATTCTATTCTACCACTATGTGTCTGAATTGAACTTCAGAAATGAATTCATGTTTTAACAGTTTTGGGAAAGGGAAAAAAAAAATTATCAAGACCCTAGTGCCATATGTAAGTAAATTTACACAAATTATCAAGACCCTAGTGCTATATGTAAGAAAATTTACACAAATTATCAAGACCCTAGTGCTATATGTAAGAAAATTTACACAAATTATCAAGACCCTAGTTCTATATGTAAGTAAATTTACACATTATTTTTTGGTTTTCTTTTTCCCTTCTCTTCACAGCATTTTTTTAATAATAATTTCAAGACTTTTCAATATCATCTGATTGCAAACAATATAATCTTCTATGGATTAATTTTTGATCAGTCATTTATATTGTCAGTAATTTAAGTGTATGACTGGCTTCCGGGGCAACATCTAATGAAGCAAAATTATTTTTTTTTTAATCTATCAGTTTAATAAACACAATATTTTAATTTACGTTACCTTCACAGCTTGTAGCTGGAAGAGCAGTAATTCGTTTCAGATACTGAGAATATGTATGATCATTGTATGGAGGCACAACAGCATTAGGCAGCATTCCCTCTGGAAAATCATTTTTACCATTCCAAATTTTTGATGCAGGAATTTTGAACCAAGGGAAAGCTTTTTCTATTTGCTGTTAAAAGAAGAGAATTATGAATTTATGATCCCACTGGATATAAAATAATTATTTATCAAAAACATCCCTTACACACTTAATTATTAATAAACAATAGCATATAAATTTTTTACAGTTTTATTCTGAAATATGTCAACTTTTACTATGATAATAATTGAAATTTGCAGTACTGAACTAGATTAATACTTTCAATACACTTACTTTGATAAAAACTACTTTAGCTTCATTAGTATAATGCTTTTTCTCAGCATCATTGCCTGCTTCAATAGCATCAATGACTTCATCAAAAAATGAAGACTATAAAAATATAAAAAAATTATTTCATAGTACTTTACTATAAAATTTTGAATGTAAAAAATACTTAAAAATCAATTTCCTTACAATAGTTTTGTATTTTCCTTTTTCTAATTTCGATCTGATTGTGATTAAATCTACTGAATTTTGCTTCTCTAAAATAAAAACAAAATATGAAAAATAAAAATACAACATTTTTATTTTTAAAAATGAACATGAAATGCAAAATAAAATAACAAATTATACCTTTCTTTATTTTGTCTGAAGTAACATATATAGAACATGATGAGGATTCAAGATTTCTTTCACTCACATTCTTAATGGAATTTTGATGCACATCACTGTTTACACTGGTTTCAAGATATTGGCGATTTACTGCAGATGAATTTTTATCACAAGAACTATCTTCACTTTTTTCCATTGGTTCTAATCTACAATCTTTTTCAAGCATGCACACACTTTCAACACAATTTGTAACCATGTTTTTTACACAAGCTGATACATCCTTTTCAACATCTAATGAGATAGATTCAAAATTTGTTAATAAATCTGCAATTGTTTCTTTAACATCATTGTCAGGGCATTTAGAAGACACATCAAATGAATTTCCTTCTTGAGTTCTAGAAGATGTGATTTCACAAGTCCTATATGTTTTATGAGGATTTTTAATGTTAAGTTCATAATCAGATTTGTTCTCAAGAAAATGATGCTTTTCGTGAAGAACAGATGAACTAGGCATATAATTAGGTATCTTGAATGGCTTTTTAGATAAATCCTAAAATTGAAAGAAAACAATTTATTTGACACTTTATAAAATAAACGAGATTTTGGATTTACTTTGATTTTTTACAGTTCAACAATGATTATCTACTGAGCTAATAATAAAGAGTTATATGGCATCAATCAGTTATGCAGTTTATACCTTCAGAATAAACAATATATAGCCAATGGAGGCAGCTAGCTTACACACAATGGTATGCAATTATTTTCTACTATCGTAACTTGTAAAATCTGAACATTAAATACTAACTAAAACTTCATTAAAGATGCTCAGTTGTAAATTCCACTTTACAACATTGCAACTCATAAAGTAAGTAGAGAAAACAGCAGAATGTGAAGTAATTAAGTTTCATGCAGCAAGATGACACATATATCTAAAACAAAATAACATTACTGTATGTTTATTAGGACATACTCTAACCATTCTAGTAATGGCTTAATTCCTATAATAAAAAATTTAAAAGAATTTCTGAGAGCAAATTATTTGAAAAAATTAATCACATATATTTTAACAATAATATTAAAGGATTGCTATTCATACAGCAATGGAGAAAATTCAGTGTGTAGTTACATTAAAAAACAAAGAAAGATTTAAAATTGCCAGAAATGATTATAGAAAAATCAGCAATACTAAAGAAGTTATCACATCTAGGAATGGTCCCTGCTAGCCAGGACTTTTCTGAAAAACAAGATTTGTAGCATTGGTTTAAAGGGGAGGATTCCTAGAAGAAACAGCTCCAGCAGAAGAGAAGTCCCAAATAGCTACAGAAATGATGTACCAGCTACATGGGATTTTTTTATACTTCACTGAAAATGCTTCATCTGCAGCTCTATCCCGGGTAGAGATCAACCAATCTGACAAAAGTCCTGCTTCTGAAAGATCAAACATAATTTCCAATTTGGCAATGGCTGGAGTAGTAAGATCATGGATGGTAGAAAAATAGAAGCCGATTTTATTCATGAAATACATACGTAAAAGGGAGGATAGTGATGCTCAGGACTTAATATCTTCTACTTCCGCTGCACTTTTAAATGTGCAGGAAATGGAAAATAATACTTAAGTTCTGCTTGGAAAATATGTAGCTTCCTTCTATATATAATGGACTTGTGCGAAAGAGATGAGCTAAAATTAAAAATACAGCAATTGATCCTCAAGTCAAAGTTATTGTTATAGCTGATTTCTTTAATTTATTTTTTCCAAAATATAAAATACCCCCCCCCCCCCCCCCCCGTTGTGTAAATAAAATTGAGCTTCTATTTCTATATATTTTAATCTATGTAAAATTATTTTACACTTAATTATGCATACGAACAGAAAAATAGGAATTCAATGAATAATATTACTGTTAGTCTATATAAGTTAATAATTTTGTGCATTTATGGTACACATTACATTAATAGAAAAATAAGAGTTCAGCGACTAAATAATATTGCATTTACTGTTTTTATTTTGAGGAATATAAAATGTTAAAAGTCACTGATCACATTTGAAAAACATATTTTAACTGGATAATTTTTATCTACAAATTACAATAGAAAAAATACAAAAACTGATTATCTAGTTCAGTCTCATTTTCTGTTAACATTAATAATATATTTTACATACATCTTCATATACACTATTTAAGAAGTGACTTGAAAAATTGATTGACCATTCTGAGTTATATATTTTTAGTAGGTTACATTATGGCATAAATATGAGTATAATGTAGCAAGTGAAACAGACATATATGAATCTTATTAAAGGATTTAAAAAAGTATTACAAAAACAACAAATACTTTAGGAATTTTAATCACAAACATAATCTAATTTTAAATAACTCAATATTATTAAATGGACGCTTTAAATAAAAAGATTTCTTTGTTGTACACATTTTAATTTTTTCTCTAAGCGATGAAACAAACAAGAAGGAAGTTATAAAATTCAGAATATGTGCTATTTTGATTCATAGTATTTATGAAAGTGCTGAAACATAGTAAAACTCATATGTATTTCACTCGTATTACATTTAATCTTCCATACTAACAAACAAGATTTAAATGTCAAAAAGAAAATACCGAAATGCTTCCATAAGAGCGATACAGCCTTTAATTTGAAAATAAACATCTCTTTCGCCAATCTGAGCAATGATCAATTACTGTTAGGCGTTTTAGTCTGCTTTGTAAGGGAAAATGGTAACCTAGCTATGCATGTTTCCTGGAAACGCTGGTTATGTCCCTTTGGATATTAAGTCCCACCTAGAGGAAACATATGTGATAGGGGTTTAAAGAATCAAATGCAATTGTCCAAACATTTTAGATCTTATGCTACTCAGACACTCAGTAATGGCAGAATTTTTGATTGCCAATACATTCCAACATCCATGTAGATAACATACTGCAAAGTTTATTTCAAAGTCTTCCTAAACAGAACATCAGATATTGTAATTGATAATAATTTGCGTGATTAATGCATATGACTATATATATATATATATGATAATTTAATGTGTAGAAAAGAATCAGCTTGCAGTCATCATGGCAGGGGGTTGAATGCATACTGAGAAAGATAACAAAACTGGATTTTGATAAATTACCAATCTTTATTTTCAAGCAGATTAAAATAATTCTTCGTAGACAATATACTTCTTGATCATAAGCAATTACAATATTTTCTTATATACACAGATTAATGGGGATACAAATAACATGGAAATATCTCGAATTTGGGAGAAGAGATGAATTTTGAGGGAGAGCACCCTAGAATAGTTAATTTTAAGGCTGCCAATTATTCTTAAAGCAGCTATTGTATTTTGTTAGGAATTCTGATCATCTCTTTGGAAACGAAGAATAAAAAGCTAAATCTTAGTAAATGCTGTAAATCTTATTAAATGTTGTAGAAAGCTTTGTAAGTCCATTTTTACCTTATTTACTTAATTACATTAATTTATCTGTTCACTTATATATATATACAGTAAAAATATGTAAAGCAAACTTCTTAATTTTAATTGGTAATAAATTAATTTGGGTACTTTCCCTTTCTGTCCTAAAAATAGTAACTATTTATAACATACCAATTTAAACTATGTGATTTCAAAATTAATCCACATCATAAGCTCTTACGTGACACTACAATGCCACTTATCCAAAATAACATTAGATAACATCACTTATCCGATCACTGAATAAAATTTCTATTTAAACCAAAACTTCTTTTCTCTCTCACATGCTTCTTTTGAATGTGCAGTGTACTTTCCTGCTTATCTGCATCAAAGTAACACATCACCCCTTGCTTTAGTCCATCATCCACTGTATTGTGATATGCTAACATTCCAAAATTGTGGGAATAATTATGTCTGAATCCTATTCTGTATCTAAAGAACTGCGTTATCCATTAATAAAATTATACTGAATCTATAGCTATGTCTTTCTGCAAGTTTCATCATTATAGCTATGCAATAAACCTCTTTAATCTATTACATATATAAAGTGCAAAGTCTGAAATTCGAAAGCTCAATATCCAGACCTTTCGACTACAAGCAATTTGGGGGGGGGTTGTGAAAAGGGAGAAAGCATGCAAAAATGTCTACTATATATTTCATAATAAAGTATGTAGAGTATATGAATATAAATATATAAATCTGTATGATCAATAATTTTGCTCCATATCTGCTTTATTGCTTGGCATACATATCGAACCAAACATTCAGTTCATCACTGACTTTATGCTTTCAGCACTTATTATTTATATTTTTAATTTTTAATTTTCTTATTATTTTATTTTTAATAATTTTTAATTTCAGCACTTCTTATTACAATGAAAGGTAAGAAAAACATTCATGATTTTACTGCTTGCAATGTTGAAAAACATAAACATGTTGCAATGGCAATGCAAAAAGTGGCAATTTTGCAAAAGACGGAGAGAGGTGCTACTCCTCGGTTTATAGCAGAACTTGTAGGGAATTGTGATGAGGAGCTTATATGATATAAATAAAAATGAAGAAAACTGCTGAAATTTTATAGCAACAGTGATTCTAACACCAGAATCCAAAAAAAGAAACCTTTGCACGAGGCAAAATTGGCAAACTTCGATGCTGTCATGTTGTTCTGGCTGCAACAAAATGATAGGGTACTAATTTCAGGGCTGCTCTTGAGAGGAAAGGAAAACAGATTTACTCTGATTAAAAAATAGAGGATGTTACGAGAACAGAATTGAGTACAGACATGGTATATCTTATCTGAAAGCCTGTGGAGAAAAAATTTCAACAGATAAAGATGCCACAGAGGAATTTATTCATGAATTTTCTGTGCCAGCTGCAAAAGCAAATCTTAGCCCAGAACAAATTTTTAATATGGACGATACAAGGACAAATTTTTAATACAGACAAACCTGGACTTCTTTGCCGATGTTTGCAAGCAAGACATTTGAGCGAGGAAAGTGCACCATCAAGGGTGAAAGAAGCTAAAGAAAAAGTTACTATTTTAGTAAGTAGCAATGCAGCTAAAACTAACAAATGTAAATCACCAATGGTAGTGGGTAACACCACCAATCCCAGAGCCTCGCCTGTGATTTACAATAATAAAGATTCCAGGTTCATGAAAACAACTTATGAGCAAATGGTTCATGGAACATTTTATTAAAGAGGCTAGCTAGGCTTTATTAAACAGTGTAGGGTTACCATAAAATTGCAAAATTTTATTACCATTAGAAAACTCTTCTGCACATCCAGATGCAACCATTTTAACATGTGATAAGGCTGTGCAACCCCTTTTTTGCCTCAATACTAATTATGGATTCACCCAAAGGACTACACAGTATTAAATGCCACTACTAATCGCAGTTTCTGAATTCCCCCCCCCCCCAAGAGACCATTCTACTTCACTTTGAGATTATTAAAAAAAAACATTCACTATCAAAGACTGTGTTTGTTCATTAACAGAATCATGGAATTCTGTTTTCCAAACAACATTAGTAAATGGCTGGCATGATTTATGGCCGTCTTCTCTGTTTATTGA